ACACACAGACTGTGAGTTTGCTCACTCGGTGGTCCCACCAGATGTGAGCTAAATTGCGAAGGCACCGGTGGTCGAACGTAACTAGCCTTTTTATGCCAGCTAATCTAAGGGGCCAGGTTTCACAACCGTACAGTAAGGTCGAACGTACCGCTGCATTGTACACACTAGCCTCTAGGGCGAGAGTGATATCGCGCCGGCGTCATAAGTGGTGAAAGTTAGCAAAAGCTCAAGGAGCTTTTGCTATACGGTTCGTGATCTTATTTTCAATCTCACGGGCGCTGATACAACTTCCCGAGTAGTTGAATTTTCGAACGACTTCTAGCTGATCCCCATCAAGGGTCAGCGCAGGAGGCGATCCTTGGCAATCTTGGAGGAACGTTTTGCACTTCGAGGGTGCGAAGCAAAGCCCGAAGCGGTTGAGAGCCAGTGCTAATCTGTCCAGTGACGCTTGGCACGTCTGGGAGCTGTCACACATTAGGGTAATATCGTCAGCATACTCCAAGTCAAGAAGTCGTTCACTTAGGAGCAGATCCACACCTAAGTCGTGTTCTGTGAACGCGATCTCCATAACTAGGTCAATATATAAGTTGAAGAGGAAAGGTGATAACGGGCATGCTTGTTTCCAACCGCTGGAGATATTGAAGGGCGACGACAGCTTGCCGCAAGCCCGCACTCTGCCCGTGCTACGCGTGTATAATGTTCGGATAATATTTACATATTTCTCGCGCACACCTTTCCTGAGTAGACAGTGCCACTTCGATCAACCGAATCGAATGTACATTTGATATCGAGGAACACGACAACGGTGGGCCGCCAATATATGTAGTGGTGCTACAACAATTAACGTAAAGTGAAGATGTGATCAATGCAGCCACGACCTCTATGAAACGCGGCTTGCTCTTCACGAATATGGCTTTCACGAGTGCTAGTCAGATGACAGAGGCAAGCAATTTGGAGACGATGGAGAGCAGACTGATTCTTCACTGGTTGCCGCATCCCGATCGTGAGTCTCCCTTAAAAATTGGGACTATGACGGAGCGGCTCCAGTCGGTTGGGACAGTTTCCTGCTCCCACAGTTTCACTAGTAACTCGTGTAAATCATCCACAAGAACAGGTTACCCGAATTTGAAGAGCACCGGATGAAAATCATCTGGCCCCGCGGCTTTATTTAACTTCAACAGTCCGATCTCATGTTCGACTTCTGAGCGAGAGGGTGGATCCAAAGAGAGCCCAGGGAGCGGGGGCGATCAGTACCCGGAGAGAAATCTAACAATCCCGACCGATTAAATGGCCTTTCACAGTGTTCAGCCCAATGCTCCAAGCGTTTTGAGAAGTTGTGGATAGGCTGTGCACTCTCGTCACAAATTGTTTCACTAACACCAGGTCTCCTGTTGCCCGTTTCCCGTATCAGCCGAAATAACTTTCAATGGTTACCAAGGGCAGTGGCCATTTCCATCTCTGAAGCACGATGAGACCACCAGGATTCGCGATCTCTCTTCAGGCTAGCACGGAGTTTTGCCCGGAGCTCTTTGCGAGTTTCATTGTGTTCGCTTCCAGCCGGAATATGCCGGCGAGCATCGATAAGTTCCAGAGACTGCGAAGAGACGCAATGTCCATGTTGGCGATTAGACTTACCACATGAGGATTTTCCTGCTGCTAGTAAGATCTGGTGAATATGAGACCAGTGACCATCAATTGTCTCCAGTGAGCGCTTACTAAACTCGCATGTCAGCGTACTTTGGTAGACGTTCAGAACAGCTGACTTCGCCAGTTGGCTGGTGTCAATGCGCTCACAACGTCGTGGGCGTCCGCCAAAAAGCATCCGCAGGTCAGCATACAGAAGTGTATGGTCGGTGTCCACACCTGTGCTCCAAATCGAGCGACAGTTCTGGACACAGCCTCTCCATCGGTAACTTATCGCAATGTGATCGATTTGCGTCCAAGCCTGGTTCGAGACTAGTGGGCGCCAAGTCACCCTCCGAGGGGTGCTGTGTCGGAAATTAGTGCTCGCAAGAAATAAGCGAGCATCTTCACACAAATAAAGTAACCGATCACCGTTATCATTACGGGAGCCTACACCATGTTGGTCGCCCAGATGCAGTTCATCGATGGATAATCTTCCAACTTGAGCGTTCAGATCCCCAGCCAGCACAACAGTGTCCGAGCTTCTTCTGTGGCGAAGGAGCTCGTTCAATTGGTGATAGAAGTCGTCTTTGACCGAATCATCGCTACAGTTTGTGGGTGCATAGGCAGAGATGACGAATAGACACCTGTTAGTCCCGCGCGACTTCGAAGCTTTGAACGAGCCAGCCAATCGAACCGCACACATCCGACTACTGATGGGGATCCAATCAACCAGAGCAGCTTCAGCCCGGGGAGTCAGGGCAATACCAACACCGGCTAGGCCGGTGCTCGAAGTTGCATTGTCACCGGATAGGCGCAATGAGAAAGTTCCGCTGGTGTCACCTGAAGAGGATAGTAAAGTGAACACTGAGCTCAAGTCTTGCAGGCGGGTCTCTGATAAGCAGCATATATCGACCGAGAGGGTCTCTAATGTTCGGGCAAGTGCTGCCTGTTGACCGATCTGTAGCGATGTGCGTACTTTGAGGCATGCCAATCTGAAGGGTGATCGAGGGTACCAAATGGAAGCCGATGAACTGGGCTTGGCCGCTTGGATGGACATGGGATTCTCGACAGGGCAGGAATGATGCTCCGCGTTCACATGTGAGTTGAAACAAAAAGGTAAAAGCCTATCAAAGCAAGGTGGGGGAGGGATGAAGAATTGGGGGGGGGGGGTTGAAAACAGGGGGATAAAAGTGAAGCTGGAACGGTGAGATAAGAGTGAAAAAGCGTAAGAGGGGGAATAAGAAGATGGGTAGGCTTGAGCAGTATCATCCAAACCCGTGTCTACGGTGCTCGATGTAGCAGATGGAGCACAGTTGATTATCCTCTGCGGTGGCTAGAGCATCAAGAAATTGTTTGACGAAAGATTCATAGCCGGCTCACACTCCTTCAACAAGCAGAGCGGAAGCATTCGTGCATAATTAGCAAATCATGCGTACCATAAGTACAAAAGGCGGTGTCTGGGCTGTAGTCCGCTCCACACTGGGTGCATGGAACCACTCTTTGAGCCCAGCGCGGCAACGAGGACCGTGCAACCCGTTCTCCAGCAACATTTCACAGTCTCCTACAGCCAGTATGTAACGAGGTGGGGGGCAATAGACAGGTGGGCACCTAGTCAACATACAGCAAGCGCAGACACACCGGGGATATCAAGCATCAGTAACATCTGAAATGCAAGAAGCTCAACACGCAGGCACACGTACAGACCAACTGCAATGACGACGTAGCATGTCAACCTCTTCATTGGCCTAGGCTAGTAAAGCGAACGCAGCGTGAGTACGAATGCTACGCATAATATGATACTTAGCTTTATATTACTTTTTGTGTGTTATAAGCTTTAGTAGCTTGTTTTTTGTAACGCGGCATAGTAGCTGCGTGTTTTCCACCCGTAACTAATGCATATTGATGATGATATAGTTAGAAAATAGCAGGGATAAACAGTGCGCTGGGAGGGAGAGGAGAGAATGGAGTTAGTAAACGTACCCGTTTTTGATGCTTTGATAATTCGCTTTCCAAGCTGTCACTGCGATCCGCACATTTACTGACGGCCAAAATAACCTCGTCGACACCGACCTAGGGATCGAACAGATTGACAAGATCATCAACGAAGACAAACGCAAAGCATCTTGGCGAAGTGGTAGAGCACAAAATATACAGGTTGATATTACTGTGATAAGACAAAAGTGAGCATGGTAGAAAATGGAGGTTAAAACCAACGGAGATGACTGAAACACAAGAACCCAAGAAGTGCTGTAAGAAGAATCATAAGTCGGTAGGTGGATCTAGAGTCGCTGGAGAGGCTCGCAAATCAAGCTGCTACAGTCAAGGAGACATTCAAGCGATCAGACAGAAATCAAGGGTACTTAATAACAGTCGAAAAACGGATCGATTCATGAGTTGAGCGTATTAAGAATAGATTATTTGTGCTTAGTGTAAGCATGAAGAGTTAATCAAATGTGGCCTCTGCCCTAAAATGTGGAGGGGTGCATCTCTGTCGACTGATTACCAATTGCTTCCACCTGCGCTTCTTACCGGATAGTGGTGCAGCCGTGAGTACGGTGGGGGATTGACCTCCAAGAAAACAATCGAGCAACTCTAATTCGAGTAGGAAGTTGTTTTATCATCATTATCAGTAAGACAACAGTTATATTGGCGTAGTCCACCAGGCAGCCATGACTCATGGAAGAGTGGCAGCTTGGATCAGTGAACAACTGTCACGCATGTAAACGAATACAAGCCAACAACGTTGATCGTGAAAAATGGCAATCAAATGAAGGTAAAGAGAAGTTCGAAGGGCTCTTACTGAGTTGTGTGCTTAATTGGTAATCCAATATTCAAGTATGCACAAAAGCCTATTAAGAAACCACAATGGACACATAAGAATTGATGACTGTGTGACGATTACAGTGATGGGCCATGTAAAGAGCCATTTACGCAGTTTTAACGTGGAAGAGGAGATCAAGTAACTACTTTATCCCTGCACATTGGTGTCTTGCTGCGAAGAAGATAGAATGCTGATCAGTGAAAAGCGAACACGCGTCGGTATCATGGGCAACATGCGTTATACTCCGAAACGCTGAGGTCTCTGTAAGCACTAACGTAGGTATGAAGGCGTACGATCATAAATGAGAAGGGCGGTTTGCATTGTTGCAACGTAAACGTAACCACACCATGAACAAGTCCAGGCTACCGGACTAGTATTTAGAGATACTCGCTGAAAACGTTGCAGCCCAATACATGCACGACACAACGAAGGAGCTAAGTAACATTATCAATGTAAAGTTGGAAAGTTGATTGAGTGGGATGCCATCATGACTGACAGTATCTGCGTCTTGCGGTCGCACGACAAAAAGCTCAACTATGATAGATAAAAAAAGACTCGGACAAAAGCAGTGAAACCAGTTGGGTTGGAGCTACTATTGGGCAACGAACGCAACATAATCATTGCTGCATATGGTGTCACCTAAAAAAGACTTGTGAAACGAAAAGTTTGTGCAACAGAAGTGGTGTTTGCGAGTTCGGTTGTAAAATGAATGTGGCAAACACAGAGGGATCAGATGAGTTCCAAATGCCTCTAAGCAAACTTGCGTCTGTCGTACTGCATTGACTGGATGAAACTCGTGTAGGTCAGATGCGCGAGCAGCAAGCCGGGTTTTGTCGAAACCGAGGCTGTATTGACCGCATCTTCACATTTCATCAGTTGTTTGGACACCGCCACATTTACTGGCGACCCACCGTAGTCGTGTTGCTCGACACCAAAGTGCCTTCGATTTAGTAGATGGATGCGCCCTTTGGGAGTGTTTGTTTTGGAAAGGTGCGCCCGACAAATATGTAAATGTTATTGGAGCGCTGTATGCGCATAGCTTGGGCAGAATGGGGATTTAAGGCAAACTGTCACCGCTGTTCAATATCTCCAGCGGTGTGAGACAAGGTTGCCCGCCGTCACTCTTTTAACTTCGCCACAGAGTTATGGAAACTACGTTCAGTGGACACGACTAAGAATGTGTGAAGCTGCTCCCAGCTAATTGACTTCTTGAGTATGTTAACGATATTTCCCAAATCCGTGACAGTTCACAAAGGTACCAAGTAGCACTGGGCAACTTAGCACTTGCTGACAATCGTTTCGGGCTATGCATTGCACCAGTAAGATGCAAAGTCCTCCACCAAGATTTGCAGGGAACTACAACTGCACTAATCCTTGGCTGTGATCAACTAGAAGTGGTCGAGAAATTTAAGTACCTTGGCAGCTACATTCGCGCCTGAGATCACTAGCCACCTGGCAAAAGCCACCTTTGGCGTCGGCGAGACATCACTCACATCTTTGCGGACAGAATTTATAATGCAGCCGTGTGTTCAACTCCTCTGTACGGTTGCGATACCTAGCCCACCAGATCGATAAATCTAAACAAGCTAGTTGCGCGCGATCATCGCTGCTTTTGCAGCTTAGCTCATGTCTGGTGCGAACATCGCCTTAGCAATGAGCGTGTTCGGCATCGCGTATTTGATGCAGGAAGAGTGATTGAACCGCTTAGTACCGCTATATCATGCACCACGCTCCGATGGCTGGGCCACGTGTTGCGCATGCCAGCACCCAGACTCTCGTGACGTGAGTTGTTTGCGCTCCCGGGATATGTTTGGAAAAAGTGAAGGGAAGGCCAACTAATGAGTTGTTCAAGAGGAATGAAGGGCCTCACTTTGAAATGCAAGGCTGAGGCCCAAAGGTCGATGGGCACGTTTGGTTTGCAACACTAATTGATATGGCGAAGAGCCGACTTCAACGGCGTTCGTGTTGTGAGTTTCTTTGTTCCTACCCTCCAGCTTAGCTTCCCCTCTAACCACGAGTGCATTCGATGCACAATATGATACTAAGCAGCATATTCGTTGTTTATGGTTTATAATTTGTGTTCTCTAAGCTCGCTTTTTTCGTTTATCTTACAGTTCTGTATTGCGACACAATAATTGAGGTTTCTCAATTTTAATTAACGTGTATTGATAATGAGGATGGCGTTAAACTGAAAGAACGACGGTTTGCGTGACCATTACGGCCACTCGAGTGCGATGAGAAGGGGTAGCCCAAAAGCGGGTCACGTTCCTTGCACGGGAATATCAAGTCGTTTGGTGAGAACTAGTACCGACCACTCTATGTGCATAAACAGTCAACTGTCAAAACAAAGTTTGGGAAAGTTCAAATGTCTAAGCTCCGCACTTAGATAATACATGAAGAGCACTGTCGGAGAAGAAAGTATTAGAGATTTCCAGTCAAGCTTTATAACCTGGATAAGAGTGACTGGTAGCTGTCCATAATATCAGTGTGAGGTAAGGAAGTTTTGCACATCGAGGAAAAGGTTTATCGCAACCCGTAATCACCAGAAGCAAGGTGCGGAGCAAAGTAAGTGGGTGAAAGGACACAGTGAAGAGGGATGTCATCGGTTTTGTAGCAACAGTAAGCCTGCACGGTCCCATCACCAGTACTGTTGCCTAGAACCGTATCGCACGGCTGGTTTGCCGAACTACCTCGTAGTGCCAGCTGGGTGGTTCGGGTGTACCTCGTTCCAGCAAAATGTTGGGCGACAGTGTTCCACCTCGGTGGGGCATTGTAGTAAGCAATTGCGCAGATTTCATGGGGAGTGTTGGGCTCCTGTTTGGTGATCTACCAAACAAAAGACGTATGAACTGAACATTCAGACAGCGACTTCCAATGGGCACGATTCCCTGAATTCGCCCCGCTGACTTGCGGGTAGGTTATTTAACCAAAGGCTCGTGGTGGGTTCCCCTAAGTCAACTCCCTACGTCGGTTTGGGCAACCGGGTAGTATCACGCCCTCTCACAAAACCATGGATTGTACTACAACGTGCTCATCGGCTACCGTTACTGCATCTTACTTTCACGTGACTTCATCACACGGTGATTGTTTGTTTGTTAACAATCCTCACTTTCCGTTATCCGATTCATGTGTTCAATAATCTGGCTGCGATTCCGGTTGTGCCGCAGACCAAGGCGCTCAACCTATGGCTCTCCTTCGTCCCCGATCCTCCTTCCATCTGACGTTCGGATACTCATACAGCATGGACAGCAAGCCGGTCTAGCGCGCACCCTATAGTCCCTCGATATTGATGTCTGCTGCCTTTCAGAAACCTAATTGCAAGACCCAGCACTGTGCTTACATTGACATACCCACTGACCACGAAGTCAGTTATCACGTGAGTATTTCTGGAGATCCAGAAGCAGCCCCAGCGGGTTTGGCTGGTGTAAATATAGCAGTAAGTGGCAAGGCCGAGGCGGCACTAATGGACTGGTTCCCGATTAACAGCCGACTATGTGCAGTTCGGCTTCGGGGTTCATGTAGAATCAACAAGCGCTGCGAGGAGAGACTGTTACAGAGAGCCAATTTACGGTCAGCGTACCAGTCGAGCACCGTGGCGCAACATTGGATCAATTTACAACTGGAGATCGAACGCAAGCAGAGATGAAAACGCGAATCAATGTGGGGTCAGCGACAAGTTGAACTCTGAACTTTAACCGTGTGAGTTGTGTTAATTAGCATTAATTAGCATCTCCAATATCGATGTGTTAGTAATTGCCTTCAACCTATTTACTGCGCTATGCTCTGATACAATACGAATCCCTCAGTCCGGCTGTTTTCTTAGCGGTCTCATTTCGTCGTGAGGTTGAACTGGTTGGGGACGGCACAACATTTTCTGGCAGGCTATTCGTACAGTCAGTGGAAACCACAACAGACACAACTTGTTTGTGATCACCGCGTATGCTCCTCCTGACTGCAGTAGTGGCGCGGTCAAGGACGACTTTTATCGCGACCTACACCAGCTCTTCATTAATGCCAAGAAGTCGAATGTCATTATCCTTGTCGGGGATTTCAATGAACGCGTTGGTCGCCTCTTACCATATGAACGCCACCTTGGTGGTCACCAGGCGCTCAATGAGGACCGCTCTGATAACGGAGAGAGGCTTCTCACATTGTGTGAAGATAACCATCTGTTTCTCTCGAGCACTAACTTCAGGCGTACGAAGAAACGTTCCACAACCTGGCGCCCTCCCTCGCCAATACAACCGTGGTCTCAAATTGATTACACTGCAATCAGCTTCAGATGGCGTGACAGCGTACTGGACTGCAGGTCCTCTTGGTCTATATTCGTTGACTCAGATCATGCACTGGTCTGCGTGGAAATCTGCATGTGTTTTGAGGGGTCCCGAAAGACGAAGCACAGCAAGATTGAAGTAAACAGATTAACCGATACTTCTGTCCAGGCGAGCTATCAGTCTGCACAGGCATATGCACTCAGATGCAATCCACCGCAAGACATAGAGCAACATTGGACTTGTATACAGAAAGCAATGACAATTTACGGACAGTCAAACTGCGGCCTAGCTCGACGCCTCTTCAAGACTTGAACCTCTGCTCGCTCTCTGGAGCTGTTCGACCGCCGCAAAGATATCCCAGCGGAATCAGAATGCAACGATCGGCGCCGTTCAGCCAACCGGCTGCTCAAGCAAAGCCTACACAAGGATCGCGAGGCATGGTAGTCTGAGCGTGCTTTGGAGATGGAGACCGCTGCCCTCTCTGGAAACAATCGCCAGCTTTTCCAACTCATCCGGTTCAGTGGCCTCAGAAAACCTGGTGTCAGTGAGGTTATTTGTGAGGCGGATGAGTCTTCGATCACCAACCAACAAAGGCGTTTGGACCGCTGGGCCTAGCACTTTCACTCGCAATTCAACTGGCCTCCACCGTCTAACAGTAAATGCAGTACACCTTGTTGTCTACCCTGGCTCGTCCCACTGAATCCACCAACGGAGCGGAAGTCTGCCTTGAGATTGGACGCTTGAAGCGGCCCAAGGCTGCACGGCTCTGACAGACTTCCTCCAGCGCTGTTCAGATACGGCGGCGTGGTGATCAGTAACCAGCTGACCTCGTGGTTCGCAAAAATCGGGCCTGAAGAGAAAGTGCCTTCCCCTTGGGGCAAAGTAGCTAGTGTCCCGGTTTTCAAGAAAGGCGCTTGTAATTCATGTGTAAATCACCGTAGGATCAGTCTTATTTCGTTTGTCTCCAAGCTATTGGCATCCATTCTGCATCGTAGCTATCCCAAATATGTGAATCATACTACCGTGAAAAACATGCTGATTTCTGTCCCGGTCGCGGATGCGTGAAGCAAATCTTCACGCTCCGCCAACTCCTCGAATAGCGCCACATTTATCACAGGCTCATTATCGTTGCATTCCTAGACGTACGCGCTGCCTTTGACTTCGTTGATGGACCTGCTTTATGGCATTGCTTGCTAAAGAACGCGGTGCCCGAGAAGTATATCGCCATCTTACATGTACTTCATACCTCCGGCAGAGTGAGGGTCTAGAGTAAGCTATCCTCCTTATTCGCTGCCAATAGCGGTGTGCGACAGGGCTGCACTATGTTCCCATTCCACTACAACTTCGCAATCGAAGACGTTCTGTCGAGTGTTTCCAACATTTCGGCCTAGAACTTCTACCGAGTGAGCGCGCGAATGACTTAGATTATGCTGATGATATCACCTTACTTGGTGACGATCCTCAGGGCATGCAACTCATTCTGGATCGTTTGTCGGTTGAAGCATCGAAATATAGAATGAGCTTCGCCACATCGAAGTGTAAAGTTCTGCTCCAAGACTGGCCTACACCTGCTCTCGTGCACAACTTGAACAGGCAGATAGTTTCGTCTACCTTGGGAGCGGTATCTCTGTTGACGGCACTATCAACAAGGAAGTTGCTCTTCGCATCGCTAAAGCCCGCTAAGCATTTGTCAATGTGAGGCCCTTGTGGCGTCGTCACGACGTCTCATAGCGAAACTGTCCGTTCAGTATTGTTGTATGAGAGCGAGTCCTGGCCAATTCGCGTGGAGGACATGCGTCATCTTTCTGCCTTCGACAACGGTTGCTTAAGGAGGATCGCTCGTGTTTGGTGGCAACATCGAGTTCAAAGTGAGGACGTTAGACGTCGCATCTTGGGGAACGCGAGTATTCCCTTCAACAAACTGGTTTTGCTGCACCAGTAGAGATGGTTCGGTCACGTCCTGTGCATGGTAGCCGAACGTCTACCGCATCGCGCTCTATTTGCTTGTCAAGGATCTGGCTGGAGGCGACCGCGTGATGGTCAGTCTACCACTTGGCGACAGCACATGAAATCGCTGAAGTCGCGTTTAGTTGCCGTTGGACCCGTACGTCCTCCAGGATGGGGACTCTAGGATGAGGAGTGCTAGAAGACACGGCCCGCAGCTGGAACCGGTGGAAGAATTGTGTACAGAGTTGTATTGATTCACCTGCTTAATACTTCAAACAATAAAAATGATACAAAAGCAGAAAAATCAGTGTAAAAAGCAAAGCAAACATGTTTTGTTCCTTTTTTTCTGAGGCACAGTAGCTGAAGTGTGTTGCTCATTTTCATCTAATGTGGCACGATGAACTTGACGCGGCAACCATGCGCCTTATTTGAAAATCCCCATGGTTTTGTAGGCTCTTAGTCTAGTTAAAAGACTGCTGAGACCTAGTACTATCACAACTATTACTACGGCTATGACTACTAGGACTAATTAATACAACAACAACAACAACAACAACAACAACAACAACAACAACAACAACAACAACAACAACAACAACAACAACAACAACAACAACAACAACAACAAATACTACTACTACTACCTACTACATCTGACTGAAAAGCGACAGAGATTTGGTGTGTCGAAAAGTGAAGGTACTAAAACTAAATTAAATAAGAACTGATTTTAAGCGATGGTATATTGCAAACACAATGGGAACCCTTTCAAACCTAACGAAACGCGCACAAAAGTTGACTTACATCGGCCAAGGCTTCAAGTTGGTGCAGAAGCATAGGTTTATTGCAGAACTCCACGATCGGTTTTGGTTGAGTGAGCGTTAATGGTCTCAAACGTGTGCCATAGCCACCGACTAAAATAAGAGCCTTCATAATCACTATCTGTAAATGATAATTGTAAGGGTAATTTACCAAAACATGACAAAATAGTCAGGAAAAGAGACCTGTCATATGAAAAACAGTTGATACTCACTTAGCAGAAGGTTATACCGTAAGTATCCGAACGAGGTTGGTACTGAGAAATTTGTGGATGGCGGAGCTTAAAAAGATGCAAGAAATAAAGATCGGCCTCATTCGCTGATTTCTACTATTACTTCAGACCCAAAACAAAGACCCCATGCTAATTGTTTAGAGAAAAGTTGAAATACAGCGTCATGCACACTACAGGAGCAACACGTCAAAACAAGAACCGAGGGGGTCACGATGAAAGGAGAGAGGAATCGGTGACGTGATGTGCAACATTTATTGTCGGTCAAGCAAAACATGAGTCAAACCATTTCCAGGGAAAATTTAAACCTAAGAGACAAAACGTATCAGCATGCAGAGCGATGCGACAACAATCCTAAGGTGTCCATTATTAGTATGTATCTCGTCATAAGATACCAATAGGAGTTGGTCATCAATAAAAGCAGCAAAGTGGTCAGGAAAACACAAGGATATCATGGCACAATAATACGTTTGCAGGATTACAATCGTTATCTACCACTTAAAACACAGAGTTCTCCTTTCACCTAAACTACGACAAGCGACAGGTGAATAAAAGTCGACGGGTTAACCACTAGTTAGTCTACATCAGGGGTATCGAAACTTTTCGCAAGGAGGGCCATATTTTGTGAGGTAAAAATATGTCGGGCCATAGTCAGTTTTACATTAGGATAACAACCAAAAATGACTTATATAAGTTTTAGTAGATGTTTTTAATGTGAATGGTGAAAACGAGATCTGAAAGTTTTGTACTTTTTGAGTTAGTTAAAACCCTTAAGTTAAAGTACTAGATTGACTTTTCTTAGTTGGTTAAAAATATACAATACTACGTCACTGATTTTTGCCAGTACCTGACGACACCGAAACGCAAGGTCCTTATTTTATTGAGATCTAGATAATGTCGTCTGTTCGGAAAAATGCAAGCTTAGATTTAGTATTTCATGATGAGGCCGCGGGCCAGTTGAAATGTCAACGCGGGCCGCATTTGACCCGCAGGCCGGACTTTGGACATCCATGCTCTAAACTATTGTATTGTTTGACGTCGCACGACAATGTCGGCCTGTGTCAGCATACAGAGGTGGTTCCAACTGATACTTCCAATGCAACGAGAATAAAAGCAGATGAATTTTGAGATCGAACTCAGAACTGCGTGTGAAGTTCCCCTGGGTTAATAAAGTAAGTGTTGTAGGCTAAGCACTAGAGTGAATGCATGAGAAAAGAATCAAGTAACATTTCTGATGAGCGTCTGATGAATAATAGTAAGTGTGCACAAAAAAGGAATAGGCCTAATTCGATAGGGAGTCCATTCAGTACTGTCAGGTCATCAGGCAGCCAACAACGAGCGCAAGCCAGTAAGCGGGTATATCACATAATAATAACAATTCGCACAGGAAAATAATGATATTTCCTAGAATTGATATGTTCACATTCCTGAGTACAAAAGTGCTGAGATGCGATTTTGCCGGATATAAAAACCTCATTAAATGTTACCTCAGTCGTTAGCGAGTTTCTCTCCGATCGAATAGATAACTAAATAGTTCAGAGCAAACATCCGCCAGTTGCACAGATTTCCCCATACAAGTGCCCATGTTCAGTTACATAACAGTAAGAGCATATGGATGCTAACAAATGAAATTGCACAACTGGTCACATCAAAGTGATGCTGTGAACCTACTGGATACATCAGTACTCAGTGCACTTAAGGAAGCGGCCAGTATTCGCCATTATTCACAATGCAGCATGATGACATGGAGATCCAACTGGCTGTCATGGGCTATCCGCTACGCGAACTATGTCGCAATAAGAATGCGGTTAAACACGAGGCGATAGCTTGCTTGTTTACACAATCCAGTGAACTACGTCGGGTACATTTATTATTCCTCGAGCGTCACTACTACTAGAGTGATAGAGTTAAAAATCAAACAAACTAAGTACCCTGGCCGACCGGGTTAAAAGCTGGGACCGGGATAACAACAGTATTGTGTAAGTTGATCATAGCGTGAGACGCTGTCAATTTATCATTGCTCTTTGGTCAAGCTTTGGTGACGAGGACTCCGGCTGAGGACCAAAATGTTCTTGAGAAGATTCATCGCAACTAGGCTCAGCCAGACAGCCGCAACTCATCCAGGAAAACGCTAGACAGCCGTTTCATCCTATTGAGACTCGTCAGTAGCGCGCACTCGCCGAATTCTGCCGGATTCGAACCCATGGCCTTACTCTTACAAGCAAACGACTTATGCCACTGAGCCATGACTTATATCAAACTGCGATTTAGCGCGGCTCATCCTCCACTGCCGTGTAGGTTACGAACGTGCAGAGGACAAGCCTGGCTCCCAAAGCTACGACTTCCTACTACTGAATCAGTATTCGCCTCAGCAGCTTACATGCCACCTCGATTAGCGGCGGCTTGAAAAGGAAGTTGTATCTCTGGGAGCCAGCCCTGTCATTTGCATGTTCATAACCTGCACGACAGAAGATGAGCCGCGATATATCACAGTTAGATATCAGTCACGGCGGTCCGTCGTCCTCATCCATGACTCAGTGGCACAAGTCGCTGGCTCGTAAGAGTAAGGTCATGGGTTCCAATCCGGCAGGATTCGGCGGGTGCACGCTACAGACGAGTCCCAATAGGGTGAAACGGCCATCTAGCGCTTTTCTAGATATGTGGTGACCGTCTGGCTGAACCTAGCTTCGATGAATCTTACCCAAAACAGTAAACCATCTTGCTACTCACTGATGATCAAAATACTCCCCTGTTCGAGTTTGGGTGACAGCCAATTTGCAATAGAACAGTGAGTAGAACCACAATCTGAACCAGCCAGTGCGCTGATCAGAACGCTCATGCAACCTGCTACCTACAGTAAGTTGGATGGAGAAAAACAAATTGCTGATGCTATACCCAATCTTGTGTTGACACATGTACTTCTTGTACAACATTTGGCTTTGTTACTAAAAACAATTCATCCTGCGGTGAAAGGTGATAACTGGAGCCCTAGAGCAGTTTGAAACGGTTTACTGCTGTCGAACAACGAGTAAAGGGCCACTTGACTCGATCCCCTTGGAAGCGGTCAGCTTGGTGCTCAACGACAGGGAAGGTGCAACGCGCTTGCATGAACACGGAATGCGCTGGGTGTTGATGCATGACTTAAAGCTACAAGGCAAGACAATAATACGGTCAATGAACTAGCCGTGTCTGACCTGTCTTGCAGCTGACGACATACCTCTTCTTGGGTCTGACGCAGTGGCTATAAAAGCGATCGTGAAGGGACTGACACATAGCGCTGCACGTTTCGACACGGGCTTTGCACCTTTAAAATACATGGCACTGTTGCAGAATCGGGTCGACACATCATCGGTTTTAGCTATTTGCGAACAGCCAGTGGAAGCGGTGGATCGCTTCACTTACCACAGTGGCTGCGTCACCTCTGGTGGTCACATTATTGAAGAGGTAGGTTCATGTGCCAGCAAAGATCGTGCGGATTTCCAGGGGCTCAACAGTTTGTGAAGACGGCGAGATGTCAGCCTGTAAGTGAAAGGTCAAGTGTGTAACGCTGCGATAAGGTCCGTGTTACTGGACAGTTCGCGGTATAGACATGAAACGCTTAATCTTGTTTGATCACCGGTGCTTGCGGAGTAATACTAAGATCTTGGGGAACACTCGGTGAGCAATGCTGAGGTCCGCTAGTTGGTTTTGGCAAGAAGCCATCTGGTGCGTTACTCGAGTGTTTGTTAAAACGCAACCACTTATGTTGGCTAGGTCATCTCCACCGTATGCCCGTCGACCGCCTTCCTCGGTGTGCATAGTACGCAGTCGTCGCCCCAGATTAGACAAACATGTTAGGTGATCAAACAATAAAGTGGCACAGCGGTATGAAGAAATTGACTGAGAGCTTTGGTCAGGCTGGTGCGTGCCGTATTCGTGAATGGGAGCATTGGGATGGTTCACACCAGGGGTTGGAGACTATAAGACATGGTAAAGTCGCGCAGTTAGTAGAGTTCTCTAAGTAACAATCGTTATCCTCTGATAAGTTTAGTGTATTTCTTGATTCCACCTTCTTTGTATTCTATATACCTTCTATTTCATTTCCTACCGCTGTTATTCATTGTTATCTGCCGACGTGATTCAATGCAACTGGGTCCACCGTATTCCGGTGAACAGATCATACCTGTTCAAATGAAGTGAATGGAACACCTACTCGATCAAGTGGAATGAAAGGGAGCTCGGTGTCGGTGACGCGTTTGCAAAGACCTTCGAAGCTGAAATGCAAAATATGTAGTTAATAGTTTTCAGATGCCGGAGTAGAAGCTCTCAAAAGTGGACTAAAAGCATCAGTTGTAACGCAATAAAAGAAGCAATTGTGACTAATAAACACAAAGCTAGTTGTAGTGCGCGACATGATAGTGGGAAGAAGAAAAACTGGGTGGAGAAAATGATGTAAAACATTGTATTCGCTCACTGTGTCACGACCTCGCAACGAGACTGGACCTTAACTTGGTGTGACGGTTTGCGTACCTCCTTGACCCATTGAGCTATACTGGGTGGTGCCCCCGACCCCTAGAGAGCTACGCCTACCAGGTTAGTCAATGGTTAGAGATCAGACAAACTCTATCATCTGGTCCTCCAGGTTGGGGGTTTGAAATGAGATGGCATCCATTTCTGTAAAAACAAATCACAGCCACAACCCTGCTACCTTGCGGACAGGCTTTTGAGCCAAAGACTGATTGAAGACCATAAGCGCCCTCCTCTCCAAGTATAGGCACCCTGGCAGTATGTCAGCCCACGTACAATCATGAATACTTCCTCAAACTGTAACCACATTCTGCATCGGCCGTCGCGCAGCTTATCAATGGTCGTCTTATCCCCTGCATACAACGGCGGATAAGCGGAAACACGCTACTGGTAGTGCTTCCCTCTTTTTCTTTTCCACCTCTTACCATTACTCCCATCCTAATCCCATTACTAAGCTAAGTTCTATAACACCCAGCTTAAAAGAAAGCAGCTGCAGGGCCACTAGAGCCATACCATCTGCAGCCACCTACTCGCACCACTAACTAGAGGCCTATCGAGAGCAGCCCCTTATAAGGCCACGCTGTCCCGTTTCCCAAGCGGCGTTCAACGTTAGCATTCCAAGAGAAAATGATCAACAGGTTGTACTCGTACGCACACTGGGTATTGACGTGTGCTGTGTGTCTGAAACAAGGATCAATAACCCTAAGGAGGTTGTTAAATTAACTGTGCACGGCTTGTCCTCTCGCTATTGGTTACACGCATCCGGAGGCACCGATGCAGCACTCACGGGAAACTACGTGATTTACAATCTCGTTCCAACATCATGCTTGGCACTCAAACGAAAATTTTCACACAAGGAAAAACCACGAAGATTACCTTTGTGCTCCGTCCGAAGATAGATTCGGAGCTGGAGCGCCTATAAAAAGACGGCGTAATCTTGCCTGTACGCCATTCATCCTGGGCTGCACTGATCGATCCGGTATAAAAAGCAGATAACTAGATTCGCATTTGCAGTGACTAAAAGATGACGGCTAATCAAAGAACGACAACGGAACACTACCCCATTCCACAAATAGATGACCTCTATGCAACCTTATAGGGTGGACAAAAGTTATCAAAATTCAATCTGAGCCACGGTGATTCTAAAGTGGAGCTTCATGAATCTGCCAAGGAAATTACGATTGTCAATACACACATATGGTTGTTTCACTATAAAGGGTTACTGTTCGGAATACACTCGGCACCAGCGATCTTTCAGAGAACTGTAGACAATTTAGTGAAAGGTATACCTGGAGTGTACGCTTAATTGGACGATATCTTGATTACTGGCAGTACGGATTATGAACCTCTGACGGCACTTACTACTGTTTTGGAGCGCCTAAAAGAGAGCGGATTTAAACTCAGAATCCAAGTGCGTCTTTTTCGCTGTTAACGTTGAGTACCTGGGGTTTCGTTTAGACAAACAGGGTTACAGCAATTAGGAGAGAAAATTCAACCTATTCTCGATTCGCCGACACCACGTACCATTCCCGAACTGTAATCATTTCTTGGGATGGTGACTCATTACGCTCGTCTTTTGCCCAACCTAGCTACTATTATCGCACCTTTGTATGCACTACTACCTAGTAATACCGGATGGCTGTTGTCCCCAGCACAACGGAATTCTTATGATGCTGTTAAGCTGGCTATAAGTAAGGTCAATTTGCTGGTACACTTTGACTCAAAGAGGCCTCGCCGGTGCGACCCATCACCCACAGGGCTTGGAGCTGTGCTATCTCACAAAATGAAAGATATGACCGAACGACCCATAGCTTTTGTATCCAGTAGCTTGGCAGCAGCGAAAAGGAATTACGTCCAACTAGACAAGAAAGCCGTAGCGGTTATCATTGGGGTCAGGACATTTCACTAACACCTTTGGTGAAGAACGTCTAAAGTTGGTACAGACCATAAACCTTTATTAGGTTTGATCGGCGAGGAAAGGGGCATCAACCAGATGTCGTCGCATCGTATGCAACGTTGGGCTTTATTGTTTCCGGCCTACAACTACAAAATCTCGTATATTCACGGGAAAGCGAATGGAAACTCGCTCTGAGCCGCTTAAACCAGTTACCCGATTGTGTACCGAAACCCGAGGAACCGGTACATTTCCTTCAGCATTTAGAGGGAAATCCGGTGCCAAGAGCAGATATCCGTCATGAAACCGGACGGGGCATGCTACAGTCCAACCTGTCTGAGGCGACCACTCAAGGGACCGACAGAAAGCGGTCGCCTTGGACAGGTGGTTGTGTTTCAGCTGTACGCCGTAACGGCGCTTCGCTGCCGCGCGATTACCACCAGTCGCGCGTGGGCTGAGTATACCGCGAAGACGCCCACCCCTACGCGGATTCGAACCGGTGACCTTATGGTTGCAAAGCAAACGTGCAGACCACTCGGTCACCGGCCGGACAGGTGGTTGCCATGGACAGGTTCATGTATAGGAAGATTACTCATAGGAGAAGACCTTAGGGATGCCTTTGGCTGGTCGCCACAACAGGTTTTACTGTACTCGCCAAGGTCAAGCGTCTAGTATCCCAGAGATGGCCTGACAAATGTGAAGCGCAACTGCTACCATACTTTACTCCGAGCTTAGTTTAGAAGATGGATGTCTACTCTGGGGATCCAGAGCGATCACACCACCCCGGTTGCAGCCAGATGTGCTACAGGGGTTGCACGAAACTCATTCGGGAAGAACGATGATGAAAAGACTTGCAACATCCTATATGTGGTGACCAAATATCAACAAAGACACTGAAGAGTTAATTCGACACTGCGACGCTTGTCAAACACACAAAGAGCCCCTCCTGTACTACTCTGGCCATGGAAATGACCCGGTAAACCATGGGAGCGTGTACATGCTGACTTCTTCGGCCCACTTGACGGGAAGGTGTTTCTTCTCTTGATCGACGCTTACTCCAAATGGATCAGTTTTCCCGGTACCACGAGTCACGTCAGGCTAAAGTTTCATGCATGCGACCGTGCTTTACAACATTCGGTATACCACACATGTTAGTGGCAGATAATGGATCCGTGTTTACTAGTCAGGAATTGCAGGAGTTTCTGCGAAATAACGACGTACGTCATGTGAAGTCAGCCCCTTACCATCCAGCTTCTAATGGATTAATTGACAGGGCGGTCCAAACGATCAAGAACGGGCTATGAAAACAACTGCCAGCTCCGTTGCGAACAAGGTTAGACAAATTTCTTTTTGATTACCGCTCCACCACGAACGAAACGAAGGGCGAGAATCCCAGTGAACTAATATGTTTGGGCAGAGATTAGGAAGACGGTTAGATTTGTTGTTTCCTGATCAGAGGATACGTGTCCAAGCCAAACAAGATAAGTCTAAGGCCGAGTATGATCGGAGGGCGGTCGATCGACAGCTTTGTGAGCACAAACCAGTTTATGTCAAGATGCCTTACGAAACGAAATGGCAGTCCGGAGATCTGCGCGAAGTCGTGGCTCTATCAGACGGTAGGGTTGTCATTCGGTACAAGGACCATGTCCGTCCCCGCTCTGTTTCGGTTCCGCCAGTCAACACATCTGCAAGCCCGATCACTGAGTTGGGAGACATGCAGTATACCAATCAAACAGGGACACCGCAGTGTCGCCGATCAGGCCGAGTACGCTTATCAGTCGATCGATATCAGACCAGCTGGGGTAGTTCCAACTAAAGGGAAGAGAAATGTGGCAACTGCGCGAGCTGAGTTCATTTGTCTGGTCCATCTCATCAAAAGCAGTGTGCATCAGTCTAACACCAAGCTAGTCATCGATACAACTGTGTTCATCTACTTCCGATTGGCTGGATGGACTAGCATCCAACGCTAAGCCAACCATTGAATGAACTGTTTTACCACATGCGAAGCGTTGTGTTTATGGCAAAGCATAATACATTTTGTGTATTGCTGAAACTGACGCACTCTGCTGTGGTGCGCTACGTGCTGAATACTGCGTTCTACTAAGCGTTGTGATTTAGTGTGGGCTGAGTCGTAACACAGGCGTTGTTTGCTTGTTGTGGCAGCAAATGCTCCAACAGACTGCAGAAAAGAGTCAGTTAAAGAGGAGTTCTACTGTCAACTGTACGACCATCTCCGAAAAAGTACAGTACAGACACCATGGTACTTGCCGGGGACTGTAGACTTGAGGTTGAAGAGCGTCAACTCGGTGGTCAACATGGGTATGGCACTTGAAGAACAGACAACGGTGATCGTCTACTTCGCTATGTGCCGATCTCGGATTCCTTCTGCCGAGTACTAGCTTTAGGCGATGCTTGCGCCAATGCGCGAGTTGGAGGCCTCCGTCCCCTGACCAGCCATGGACGTATCTTGACCACATCATCATCCATCAGTTATCACTGGCGGGGCTGCGTACAGGATTGAAAATGAATCTGGAGTACTTAGCTTACTTCGGATCGCGTACTCGTGTGTGTCTAGATAGCTGTACATTTATGGGGGCTCCCAACGGCGTCGCCGAGAACAGCTTGATGTGGCTAAGCTTTCTGCTCCAAGCGCTCTCAACGCGTTTCAGGATGCGCTGGCATCAAATTTCAAAAGCACCTCATGCAATGACGTTTAAACGCAAGGGGCACACATCATCAGCGCTTTGCACAACTCTGTGACCCAAGGCTGTGGCTTCACCAGTAGTTCTGCACTATCTCTCCAACTTATCGAAGCTCGTCTGGCAATTCCAGCTGGCGTTGAGTATCATTCACTGCGCAGGACAATTAACGCTAAACTCAAACAGCTCCTCAGGGAGAATCGGGAGGCCTGGTAGACGCAGCGGGAGCAGGCGACCATCTCGGGGAATTTAAAAGAGCTTTTCTACCTGATCCGATCTACTGGCGGCAAAAGGCCGACTGTAACGAAGTTTTGTGCAAAACACGTGGCGGTAGACTCCATTGCCAACTACGTCGACTCGAGCGTTGGGCTGAGCACTTTGAGAAGCAGTTTAACTGGCCTGCAGCACCGGCGATCTCTGATTCGGGAATCCGTAGTGCTCCCATCTGAGACTGAGGTTGCTCATGAGCTTGGCCTCTTAAAGCGCTACGAAGCCTCTAGCCCAGGCGAACTTCCTCCAGCTGTTTTCAAAGATGGAGGTCCATCTCTTGTTTGGGAGTTAACTTCCTTGCTCCAAGAGGTTGGAATTAGCGAAACAACCATGGCTGATTGGTGTCTAGCGGATATCGCACGCACCTTCAAAAAGGGTGCCCGGGTAGACTGTGCTAACTACAGTGGGAATAATCTCGTCTGCATCGCACCTAAAGTGTTCGCGGCTCTGTTTTCAAGGAGGTTCAGCCTGGTACGCGAACAGAACATATGCGAAAAGGAAGCTGAGTTCCGCTCCGGCCGGAGTTGTATCGATTACATCTTTACTCGCCGTCAAACACTAGAGCGTCGTCAGACGTTCGACCGGCCAACGATAGTTGTCTTCTTAGACATACGACCGCGTCTTCCCTTTGAGAACCAGTTCGTCTTCCGCGTATTAGCCCACGAAGATATCGATCTCGCAATGTACGATGTGTGGACAGCAAGAAAGACCAATTAACAAATGTAAATCGCACTCTCATTGAGAATGTTACCATAAAAGGTTAAGTATAACCATTGTGGCAAACTAACCTTACTCAGTTAGAGGACACTAATGGGCCCTAATACGCGGAAAACAGGAATAAATAACGTGCATGTGATTCCTTGCTCAGATAACTCACGTTTCCCTGAAACAGATGACCACCACTGTGAACACGGCGACGGCCAAAGAAAATTGCACGGATGGTAATAGAGAAGGACAAATAACATAGAAGGCCGACAGAAGCAAGAAATCAATGCAACACAGCTAAAGCCAACCCCTTTGCATAAAAACATAAAAAGTTGTACATGAAATGCTTGGAGGGTAATGATAACACTCTTAGACATTTCTATAGGTATTTCTCGTTGACATAGCATCTTACCCCGATAAACTGTGCGTTAATGTTTTCTATCGAACGATGAAAATCATGAGACATAAAGCACGGACAGAAACGGAATACAGACCGAGGACTGCCGGAAACATGAAATATTTGATAGTTCAAGTTCAAGTGGGACTGGAACGATATGATTATCCCGTGAGTGCCCCTTCCTCAGCGGGCCGTTGAACCGGGAGTTGATGGACTTAGAAAAGCAGATGGACCTAAAACAAAGACCGCAGCACACCCTGTCTAACCAATTATTGCCCACATATCCTGTCCTAACAGTCCCTGGTTGGATGGTTAAGTGAAGTAAAAAAGAGAAAACAGTAAACGCAGAGCAAGGAGAGAAAGAGCTAAACAAGTAGAATACTAAGATATTTGGGTCATTAAAAAAGAACTGAAGATTGAAGACGAGTCAGTTAGGAAAAGGAAAGGTTTGGTGTTGCCGCCCAAGAGCATCGAGCTGACGCGCAGAATCCCTAACCGTAAGTTCCATAACCACATGATCTGGAAGCGAATTTCCGCGCTCTATAACGACGTGACAAACGAGTTTCCGTCCCAATCCGATCAGATGGTGGTTTATGTAGCTTCAAGTCGGCCGGTGGCCGAGTTGTCTGCGCGCCAGGTTTGCAACCATAAGGTCGATGGTTCGAAGCCGCGTAGGGGTGGGTGTCCCTGCGCTATACTCAGACCAGGTGCCACTGGTGGTGGTCGCGCGGCAGCGAAGCGCCGTTACGGCGTACAGCTGATATGCTTATGATGCAGCTTCAATGGGTGACTGGGGAGATTAGGTAAGTTAGCGAGACTAAATAGCCTTGGCAAGTCCGGGCGGATCTTACCCAACAAAGTACGATAAGTGAGAATCAAGTCAACTCTTATCCTTCGGTAGTGCATGGAATACATCACCAAACTAAGCAAGTGTTCAGGATACGTCTGTCCCCGTAAACTATGCATTAACCTAGTACCCACTCGTACCTCTTCTTCAAGTCCATTTGTCTCGGATAAGACATGGTGGACAATCCTGGACACAATATTCCAAATGGCGCCGAACGAATGCCGTGAATAGCTTCACAAACATAATGACCATTGGGACTCCTAAAGAGCGGCAGATAAACCACATCATACGAAACCCCCGACAAGCAGCCTCCTTCCAACTGCCGCCAGAATGAAGAGCTGATGAGTGGACGACACCTAAATTAACCTGTTGAGTAACAGCAGGGATTTCATCACCACCGACAACATATCGAGTGCGAAGACTAGCAGTTCCGATTCGGAGAACAGAGTATTTGGCCCGATTTATGGGCACCAACCTTAAGATAGACCATTCCCAGAGCCTATCCAAGGCACACTGAATTGCCCCAAAACTTCTCGGGATAGCCACAATATTCCAGTTTAAGGCCGTCGGCAAACATAAGTGATGACACATCTAGCTCCCCCTGTAAGTCATTTACATAGATCGCGAACAACAATGGTCCCAATACAGAGCCCTGTGGGACGCCACTAAGGACAGCTTGCCTGAGCGAAAGACAACACACACTGTTCCCTCCCTTCAAGAAATGCAGACACCCATAGAAGTGCGCGACCAGATATCCCGTAAAACCTCAACTTTAGTGAAAGTTGAGTGTCAAAGGCTTTCGAAAGTCCACGAATACCACGTCTACAGCGTGGTCACTGTCTACCGCTTCGGCCCAGCTTTCACAAGCTACAAGTATACTTGTCTGACATGAAATCCCTTGCGGAATCCAGGTTGTGCAACATTGAGAAGGTTAAATTTGTTCGGGCGGTTCTCCACCGAATCCCTCATCAGCTTTGCAAACAACCTGACCACTACGCTTGTCAAACTGAAAGGCCGGTAGTTCGCAAGCAGAGCGCTGTGACTGTCTTTAAAAATCGGATAGATGGTTGCCTTCTTCCATTCCGAAAGTAAGATGCAGCTGTCAAGCGATATTAAAGGCCCGCATTTGAGAGGGCCACTCCGCTCAGCAGACAATTCATGTAACACCTTCGGATGAATTGAACTAGGACTGGAAGCTTTAGAAGAATTAATACCTTACAATCGCTCGAGGACCTGAGTCACCGTTAGGTTAAAAACAGCTAAGCAAGAGTCCACTGGAACTCTTGAAAGCAGTTCAACCTGTGGTAAGGTCTCCCGAGTAGCCCCCAGTATACTGTTCACAAAGTATACAAGCCTTATCATAGTCGGTTTGCGCACGGGTTCCGTCTGCTCACAAGAACGCTAGTATAGACAGTTTTACCCCGCTGCGTCTTTTAACGTAGGCAAAGAACTGCTTGGGATTAGCTGCGGCCGAGTCTGCTAAACCCTGCTCGTATTGGAGACGAGCAGTCCAGAGATGTTGCTTACATTTACTTTTAATCTCTCGATAACTGTAGTAGTTTGCAAGCATCTAGACCGTTTCTAGAGTAGATATTTGCCTGTGGAATCTATCCACGGAGGCTGTGCATGTAACCCTCTTCTCCTCATGAGTGGAATATAGGGAGTAGAAACCTCCGTAAGATATGCCTTGAATTGATCCCAGGCTAACTGGAGAGAGTTGCTGCCGCTGCTAATAAGATGCTGTTTTCTATAAGGATATCCTTTTCTCATGCAAGACCAATTCTTGGGTACGGATTGTCAGCATCCTATCCTCTCACGAAAGCCGAATGCGTGCTGATAAAGAAGGTACAGCGGCGGGGATCGAAATTCGTCATGTCACTCCGGAATCTGTCTTACTCTCATCGTCATCAAAGGAAGAACTTGTTCTCCCTGGAGTATCGTTGTCGCCGTGGTGGCTTGATTTACACGTGACGTATTCTCCGAGGTCCTTGTGCGGATAGCTTGACACGAGGCCACGGTACGAAGCTGTTTAAACCAAGAAGGCCTCGGTTTCGCTCTGATGTCACTTTGTCAACTCGTGTCGTGAATAACGAAAACAATTTACCTGCGCTAGTCGTCAGTGCGTAAACAGCGGAACGTTACAAACGAGTGCTAAACATCAATTTGCTTGACATGCATGGATCATGCTGCGTTGACTGTGACCGCAATGCTCCCTTGTGGAATATTGTATTGCATCGACTCACATGGTGCCTACAGTGAGTGCAAAGTGGTGGGGCTGACAAAGGATTTCCTTTGTGCTCACTATAAAGCAATGAACCAATACGTCGGCAATGGAGATCTTACAGTTCAGAAGTGAAGCCTTAGCTCGCATTGCAATAAAGTCCGCCCGCCAAATATTCGGTAGTAATTCAACGGCGGTCTTTTGGTGCATTAAGAGAGCACACCGAAAGGTGATGCATGCGTGATTGCTAGACCCTAGAGGTGTACCGTACGAACAGGACAAAATCCATGGAGAAAATAATCTTTCGCTTAACCAGTGTCCCGTTTCGTGTGTCAGTAAGCAAAAAGAGCTTAAGGCACTTCGACGTGATAAGAGATTCTCACATTTATACTAAAAAAGAAAGAAGAGCAAAATGGACACCACATTTGCATAAATTAGCATAGGCTACTTGCATGTGGTTAGGGGCTGACATGAGTACTCACAAGAATTCGGGGAACAGGGCCAATTACATTTTGTCCAGACTGCAATCAAAACCAAAAAGCAACAACAGCAGTACAGCAGTCATTTGAACAGATGCTTCGCTGACACACAACCATGATGACCTAAGGCATAAAGAATAATAAGAGGGAGAGAAGAGGGACTTACCTGAAAACCTTAATGCTCAAAGCAAACATTCATAGTCAAGGTGCCTACACTCTGCGTTAGCAACTTAGCAAACAACTGGCTATCGTGAAAAGATAAGGCGGCAATCGGACACCAGCAATGCTCCGCAGACAACGATGATCAAAGACTTGGAGGCGCCTCAGATCTTCAGACCGAAGAAGCCAAGTCTCACTATCATAGAGCAGAACGGCCCTCATTGTGGCTTTGTATACATGGCCTTTCAGACGAAGGGAACATCCGTTCTGTCACCAAAGATGACGCAGGTACAAGCAATTCTTGCCTATGCAATGTGTAAACTGAGTTCAGTTTTTATGCGCCCATCGTTGCTGATGCAGCTGCCAAAATAAGTGAATCGATCAACCACCTCGAGTTCCTCGTCAGCAAGGGTCAAGGGGCCATCAAGTGGCTGGTGGTCCTGCAACAACACCTTGCACTTGGAAGGTGCGAAGGGTATACCAAATAATGTGACCACTCTATACAGGCTACTTAGGGTTGCCTGTGCCGCCCCAAATTTGTCAAAAAGCAAAGTGATATTGTCCGCATAACCAAGATCAACTAATCTTTCACCAGGCAGGACCTCAACGCCTACATCGTGAGATTCCGTAAGGGAAGACTCCATGACGGAGTCCACGACGAAATTGAACAAAAATGGGAAAATCGGACAGCCCTGACGAACCCTACTTGTGGTCGGAAAGCTATCCGACAGGTCACTGTAGGCCCTGACGTGGTCTGTAGTGTTCGAGTACAGAGCACGAAGGATGTTCACATATTCGTGGGAACACCTTTCCGCGCAAGTATTTCGAACATAATCGATCGATAGACTGAATCGAACGCACTCTTGTAACTGAGGAACACAGTTATTGTCGGTCTGCGGTACGCTTGGCGCTGCCCTAGCGCCTACTGCAGAGTAAATATATGATCTATACAGCAACGTCCTGGGCAAAAACCGGCCTGCTCTTCCCTAATCCGAGATTCCCATTCCACAGTGAGCCCACGAACGAGAATCGAGGCAAGTAATTTTGTCACAACTGTCGTTAGGTCAACACCCCTGCGGTTGGCAGTCTGTGCGACTGCGCTTCTTGTATACTGCCACTATAATCGATTCAATCTAGTTAACCGGGACCCTTGCTTCCAGATATGTTCGAATAGGGAGGTCAGTGTTTTGCAGAGGATCTCGCCTACATCCTTAAATAGTGCAGGTGGGGGGGAAGTCTGTGCCAGCGACACGAAAACGATTGAGGGCTGTGATCGCGTTTCGGACCTCGGCCTCCGACGGACGCACTAAACTAACCGTTCATGGCGCATCCTGCACCACCTGAGTAGGAAGAGGTCCGGGAGCAGGGGGCCAGCTGAACTGATCTTGAAAGTGTTCCGCCCAACGAGCAACCCGGCGCTCCTTATAGTGTATCAGCACACCCGCGTTGTCTCTGATTGTCTCACTGACGCCTGGTTTCCTGGGACCAGTGGTGCGGATCAGCTGGAAGAGCTTCCGGTAATTGCCTACTGCGCCTGTCTCCATTTCTTGAGCCCGACTGGTCCACCAGGCTTCCTTGTCAGCACGCAGGCTTCGCTTTAGTTCGCGCCTAATAGTCCGTCTGGTCACATTGTGCTCAGAGTCAGCGAGGGGTTTCTTCTGGATTCCAACATGTTCACCGACCTCTCGGATATCCAGTGACTGGTGCGGTAACGATTCATAGTGCCACAAGCAGATGCTCCTGCGTCGTGCATGGTGTCCGCGATCCTATTCCACTGAAGCTTAGTGTCATTAGGACAAGACAGCAAAGGTTTGGTACGTAGTGCATCTTGATAGGCCTGCCTGATCGAGAGCTGGGACAATTTCTCAGTTGCCAACCGGAGGAGACGCCTGGTGCGCCTCCCGCTAAAGTACACGGAGAAATGACAGCGTACCAAGGTATGATCAGAGTGGACACAGGTATTCCAGTACGAGCGGCAATCCAAGATGGAACCACGCCACCTGTAACTTACGGCAATGTGATCAATTTGGGTCCATCGCTGGACAGCTACAGGAGAACGCCAAGTGGCACTTCGGCGCCCACCGCGTCGAAAAGCAGTGCTACTAAGAAAAAACAACAACAACAACAACAGTTGCAGCACACGTTCGCCGTTGTCAGTTCTTTCGAAGTTAAGCCCTTAATTACCACCTAGCTGAGCTTCTGAAGAGTACAGACGTCCTACTTGTGAGTTCATATCCCCTGCAAATATTATCATATCTGAACTAATATCAGTGCATAGTGGCGCGATCAGTTCGTGATAGAATGTTCTTGACAGCATTTGAACTGCAGTCGGTGGGAGCGGAAATCAAAAACGAACAGCGTTTTGTGCTACTTCGTGGATCAACCTTGGTCGTTGTCCTCAAACGAGCTGCACACAAACGGCTGTTCACAGGAATTCAATCAACCTACGATGACTCACGCTCGGAGCTTAGAATGATGCCTACCCCAGTTTGACCCGTGAGTGCTGCATCGGCGCCTCCGGATGCGTGCAACCAATAGCGAGAGGACAAACCGGACGAGGTTAATTCAACCCCATTAGGGTCATTGATCCTAGTTTAAAATACACAAAATACGTCAATACACAGTGTGTCTAACGTACGTGCGAATGCAGCTTATTGGACTATTTGTCTTAGAGTGCGAACGTTGAACTCCGCCAGAGAAACGGGACAGCGTGACCTTATAAAGGACTGTTTCCGATGGGCATCCGATGGGTGGTGCGGGAAAGTAGCTGCGGTGGCATTGTGGCTGCTGTCAAGTAAACAGGGAATTGTAGGTTAGTAACGGAGGTCGGGATGGGAGTAAGAGAAACAGGTAGAAAAAAAGGAGGCGCCGGCAGTGGCATGATTTCGCTTAGCTGTTGTATGCAGCAGATAAGGCGACCCTTGATAATCTGCGCGACGTTTGATGCAGGATGTGGTTAGAGTTTGGGGAAATTGACATGGCTGTATGTGGGCTGACATACTGCCAGGTCGCCCAGATCTAGGCAGAAGGACGATTAGGGTCCTCAACCAAAGCCTGTCCGCAAGGTTGCGGGTAGGTGGCAATGCCTTAGTTTTACACAAATGGACGCCAAACCATTTCAAACCCTTAACCTGGAGGAGCAGGAGATTGAGTTTGTCTAACCTCTAACTAATGACCAAGCTGGTAGGAGTAGCTCTCAAGGGGTCGGTGAGCACTACCCAGTATAGCGCAATGGGTCAAGGTGCGCAAACCATCACACTCGTTAAGACCCTGAATCGTTGTGACGGGTCTAGTCTCGTTTCGACGGCTCGGTTGAAGTCCACTGCCATAATACATTCCAAGAATGCAGAAGGAAATTCATTCCAACTAGGCACTACACGATTCGAGAAGAAGTTAGCTTTTATATCGAGCCTAGATCTTTGCTGTTTCATCGTTAGACTATGGCCCCGCAAGTGGTCCGACGTAGCTGGCTCAAAGAAACCGGTTAACCCGAGACCGCTGAGACCCTTCATGATCTACAATGTCTCTGGAAAATCCCCTCACAATCTGCATCTCCTCATTGAGTACAAACTTAAGTTAGCTAACCGAACAACATACGGTAAACCCCGTTGGCCTTCTATCATCCCAGTGATCAGTCTTTGCACATTCTCAATGCAATTTACGTCCTTTTGCAGGAAGGGCGCAAAGGCCCAAACACAGTATTCCAAATGTGGTCTGACCACTGCTTTATACAAGAGGAAAAAGACCTCTGGCCTGGTACAACTCAAAGCTCACCTGAGTCGAAATCATCATCATCATCATCAACAGCAGTACATCAGCCATTTGAACTGATGCTTCGCTGCCATACAACCATGAGGACCTATGAAATAAAGAATAAGAAAAGGGAGAGAAGGGGGACTTACCTGAAAACCTTAATGCCCTAAGCAAACATTCTGGGTCAAGGCGCCTACACCTTGTGTTAACAACATACCGTCACAAACAGCTGGCTATCGTGCAAAGATAAGGCGGCATCGGCGAGACAGCTTCCTTGCGGCTTTCACTGCCATGCGTCATAATCAGCCATTACCCCGCAGATAACTCAGCACCAAACACACTTTAAACAGACAATCCGATTAGGAGACGGCAGCAGACGCGCCACTGGTGTCGGTTGCGAGCCATGTCCTGTAAAGTCTCGAGCCAAGCACAAGGTGAGTCACGTGGACTCCAACCCGGAAGGCGAGACGGACCAACGGCACCCAGTTTGGTCGTCAGTGACTTCATTTCCCGCTGCCAAGTCAACTTCTGTCCACCTCGAGCCTTGCGCCATCCTACACCTGGTAGACTGAACAAGGCCCTCCTAGGTAAGCGGTGACCAGGCATACGTAGCACGTGCCCGAGCCAACGTAACTTATTCAGTGCTATCTGTTGTTCTAGGGAGCTAGCATGATCATCACCCCCTAGTACTCGCCTACGCACATCATCGTTGCGGACACGCTGGTGCCATCCGACACCAGCAATGCTTCGCAAACAACGATGATCAAAGACTTGAAGGCGCCTCAGATCTTCAGACCGAAGGGGCCAAGTTTCACTACCATAGAGCAGAACGGCCCTCACTGTGGCCTTGTATACACGGCCTTTCAGACGGAGGGAAACTCCCTTCTGTTGCCAAAGATGACGCAGATTCAAAAAGGCAGCTCTGGCCTTTGCAATGCGTGAGCTAACGTCATTTTCTATGCGCCCATCATTGCTGATGCAGCTGCCAAGATAAGTGAATTGATCAACCACATCGAGTTCCTCGTTAGCAAGCGTCAAGGGGTCATCGAGTGGCTGGTGGTCCTGCAGCAACACTTTGCATTTTGAAGGTGCGAAGTGCATACCAAATAATGGGACCACTCTGGATAGGCTATTCAGGGTTGATTGTGCCGCCTCAACATTGTCGAAAAGCAAGACGATATCGTCCGCATAATCTAGATCAACTAACCGTTCACCAGGCAGCACTTCAACACCTACATCGTGAGATTCCGCAAGGGAACACTCCATGATAGAATCCACGACGAAATTGAACAAAAATGGGGAAATCGGGCAACCTTGTCGAACGCCACTTGTAGTCGAAAAGCTATCCGATAGGGCACCATAGACCCTGACGCGGCCTCTAGTGTTCGAGTATAGAGCACGAAGGTTGTTCACATATTTCGTGGGAACACCTTTCCGCGCAAGTATTTCGAACTGAATCGATCGATCGACTGAATCGAACGCACTCTTGAAATCGAGGAACACAGTTATTGTCGGTCTGCGGTATGCGTGGCGCTGCTCTAGCACCTGCCGCAAAGTAAATATATGGTCTATACAGCCACGTCCTGGGCGAAAACCGGCCTGCTCTTCTCTAATCCGAGATTCCCGTTGTGCAGTGAGGCGACGAACGATAATCGAGGCCAGTAATTTTGTCACAACTGGCGTTAGGCTAATACCCCTGTGGTTCGCACAGTCTGTGCGACTGCCCTTCTTGTATATTGCCACTATAATCGATTCGCTCCAATTAGCCGGCACACTCTCTTCGTTCCAGATACGTTCGAATAGGGAGGTCAGTGCTTTGCAGAGGACCTCACCACCATCCTTAAATAGTGCAGGTGGTAGGGAATCCGGGCCAGCGGCACGAAAACGATTAAGGGCTGTGATCGCGTTTCGGACTTCGGCCTCCGACGGAGGCTCTAAACTAACCGTCCATGGCTCGTCCTGCAGCACCTGAGTAGGAAGAGGTCCGGGAGCAGGGGGCCAGCTGAACTGATGTTCAAAGTGCTCAGCCCAACGAGCCATACGGCGCTGTTTATTGTGTATCAGCGCACCCGCGCTGTCCCTGATTGTCTCACTGACGCCTGGTTTTCTCGGACCAGTGGTGCGTATTAGCTGGAAGAGCTTGCGGTAATTGCCTACTGCTCCTGCCTCCTCCATTTCTTGAGCCCGACTGGTCCACCAGGCTTCCTGAGTCGAAATAACTACTGTCGTACTTTGTTAGCAGCATGCTTACATTGTGCCAACGTCACGATGATACCAAGATCATGTGCTTCGATAGCAAATTGCATTGTCAGGGAGAGATGCATCAGCAGTAGGCCGGTACGCAGTACCGACGCTTCGCTGCCACGCAACCACCCCCGGTCGCATGTGGGCTAGTATACTATGAGGGTTACCCTGCCCCTACGCAAACTCGAACCCGCGCCGCAAGATTACGAGACAAGCTTGTTAGTTCTAGGCTACGGGCCGGTTGCATTGTCAGGGACCCAACAGGTGCTTGCAGTACCACATTTTCGTCAGAGTCAAGAGTTGGCATTTGCAGGCATCTAAGGGCAGATCCCATGTGTGACCAGTTAATAACAGTAGCCAAATCTTTAGATAAAGTAACTTAGTCTCTCTTGCTAACAAATTTGAAATTATTAGAAATGTAGGAGGGCTCCTCAAGTAAAGGGGCCAAGTTATTTATGAACATAAGAAACAGTAGCGGACCCAATACTGAACTCTGGGAATCCAGTATGTGTAGCACCGGTGCTCGAAATACCATTTCCAACCCTAACACGAAATGTGCTACCGCAGAGGAACGCGGACAGACAAGAAAGTCGTTGAGGGTGTAGTCCAAATCATGTCATCTCTCCAGCAGAAAGCGGTGGTTTACCGAGTCAAAAGCTTTACAGAAGTCAAGAGAACATATTTCTACCCGAATCCCGTCATCAAGACAGGGTTATTTCGTCAAGGAAACACAGCAGGTTTTTGGGGCATGAGTTTTTCCTGACAAAGCCATGCTGTTTCGTTCTGATCAAGTTATAGGCAGTGAGATGTTCACGGATTCAATCTTAGATGAACTTTTCCAGATACTTCAATAGTACGCTAGTCAACCTAACAGGCCTGTAATTATTCGGCGATGAATTAGAACCCCCTTAATGAATGGTCACTACAACTGCTTCCTTTCTGTCCTGTGGTCTTCTTCCTACACACAGACATATAAAGTTCAAGGACTGGAAGCTGGAGAATATCGGTAATTGGCTTTCATCATCATCATTATGCACGTTAGCTCGAGGTGTAAAACACCTCAGCTACTGTGTCGCAATACATAAAAGAAAAAAAATACAACAGTTGCATGCCAGCTGAGCTACCAGTAACGGTTGGGCATCATTCCGGAAAGCTAACAGCCCGCTACTAGACAACAAGAAAAATGCTGATGTAAAATTATATTGTACTACGAAATGAGATCGTGGTTGAAGTGAGAGGTTAGAAGGGATGAGCAGGGACAAGGAAACTCACAGCACGAACGCCAGTGAGGCCGGCTCCTAGCCATGTCAGCAAGTGTATCCAGTCAAACGTGTTCATAGTCTTTTGGTCTCCAACAAGGGAGCAGTGAAGCTCCAACCGAGGCCAATTCCGAAGTGAGGGCCTTCATTCCTCTCGACCAAGTCATCGCTTGGCCACCCATCCTCTTCTTCTTCCATCCACACCCGGCGCGCAAACAACGAACGTCGCGAGAGTCGGTGGGCAGGCACGCGCAACACGTGGCTTAGTCATCGGAGCCTGGTGCGTGAAATGACGGTGTTGAGCGGTTCAGTTCCTTTTCCTGTGCCGTAAACAAGGCGTCGAACACGCTCGTTGCTCACGTGGTGTTCCCACCAGATATGAGCCAAACTGCGAGGGCACCGGTGGTCGAACGTAACTAGCCTCTTTGTCAGCTGATCTAAGGGGCAGGTTTCGCAACCGTACAGTAAGCTCGAACGTACCGCTGCATTGTACACTCTAGCCTTCAGGGCGAAAGTGATGTCACGCCGGCGCCATAAGTGGCAAAGGTTAGCAAAAGCTCGAGGAGCTTTTGCTATACGGTTCGTGATCTTATTCTCAATCCCACGGGCGCTGATACAACTTCCCAGGTAGTTGAATTTCTGACCGACTCCTGGCTGATCCTCACCAAGGGTCAGCGCAGGAGGCGATCCTTGCCAATGTTGGAGGAACGTTTTGCACTTCGAGGGTGCGAAGCAAAGCCCGAAGCGGTTGAGAGCCAGTGCTAATCTGTCCAGTGCAGCTTGGCACGTTCGCGAGCTGTCACAGATGAGGGCAATGTCGTCTGCATACTCCAAGTCGAGAAGTCGTTCACTTAGCAGCAGATCCACACCTAAGTCGTGACCTGTAAATGCAACCTCCATGACTTCGTCAATAGCGAAATTGAAGAGGAAAGGTGACAACCGGCATGCTTGTCTCGATCCGCTGGAGATATTGAAGGGCGACGACAGCCTGCCGTAAGCCCTCACTCTACCCGTGCTACGCGCGTATAATGCTCGGATAATATGTACATATCTCTCGCGCACACCTTTCCTGAGTAGACAGTCCCGAAGGGCACTTCGATCAAGTGAATCGAAGGCACTCTTGATGTCGAGGAACACGACTATTACGGTGGGCCGCCAATATATGTGGCGGTGCTACAACAGCTGACGCAAAATGAAGATGTGATCAATGCAGCCACGACCCCGACCAAACCCGGCTTGCTCCTCACGAGTGCCAGTCAGTCAGGCAAGTCATTTGTAGGCGATGGGACCAGACTGATTCCTCTATGGTTACCGCATTCGGAGCGCGAGCCTCCTTTGAAGATGGGAACAATAACGGAGCGGTTCCAGTCGGTTGGGACAGTTTCCTGCTCCCACAGTGTAATGAACACGGATTATTCCAGGAATGAAGGAAAAAGACAAAAGCCGATAAGGAGGCTTTACTCGATTAATAATTCTGACGTATGAGCTATAAAAACAGAAACATGTATTAGAACGGTAAATA